ATAATGGAAAAGAAAATGAAAGCTGCTACATTACAATCTTCCAGGACGTTGGAAATTGATCACCTGCCAGAAAGTGTAGATACCCTCACTTGCTCCCAGAGATAAAAAAAATCCGAAGCCACGCCAACAGACCGGACACTGTGTAACCTCTATGGTCTCTATAGTCTGTTAGTAAGAAGTCCACGTCAAACTCCTATGATCTTCCTACAAATACCTTACAGTACCCGAAGGCAAGATTTAATCACGAGGACCACGACTAGCATGTTTTCCTTCAAGGAGAAGGTCAAATAAGGGTACGAGTACCAAGGGAGAGATTTCGGATAACAAGGGGTTACCAAGGGCTAACATTCTGTAGGGAAGCTTCAAAAAACTCTATGCGATGGGTGACTGCTTCTTTAGTCCTCACCTTCGCTGCGATGACAAGTTGTAGCTGACTGGCCAGGTAGGGCGGCCTCTACATCAAACTCTTTGACCCTAGACACCCACAAACTCTGCACCTTAAACCCCCAAACCCTAACCCCAAACTAGCCCAACACGCCTAAATCCCAGCCAGACTCTTAAACCCATGAGCCTCTCGACCCTTGTCCCCTAAAAAGGTTGCAGTCTGGCCTTGTTCTTTCCAAACTTGGACCGGCCCATGCTGGCTGTTGTCTGAATGAGCTCTGGCAGAAAATGCTGCCTTGCTTGTGGCCCACCAGGACTGGACATCCCAAGAAGCTCTGGGTTTGTTAGGGGCCTTAGCGACTCGGTATTGATACAAGGCTGACTGACGTGCACAGTCTCAAGGCTGCACAGGACCTCCCCAAATACTGTGCCGAGCGGCTTGCAAAACTTTGAAACAGCTTTGCCACCTGGGCTTTGATGGTCGTCACATGGAGACGCTCCGCAGATTTGTCGCCTACATCACCAGACTGCTGCCCCTATGAAGCACGCGGAAGATCATCTCCAGATCTTCATAGTCCCAACCCCAGAAACAAACACACTAACATTACCAACATACTGGCACTAAACTCTAGGACAATATTTCGGCTAGGGTGGCCAAGCATGTGCTTGAGAATCATGCGTCGCTGCACCTATACAACCGCACGCAATGAAGAATGCTATTCCTATTGAGTATGCAGGCGAAGGGTCGCAAAACGGCAACAAATACGGGATCGCTCATGACCTACAGTCCTGAATTTTATGCTCTTCCGCGCAGAAACATGGATGTGAAACGCTTTCATATGAAGCTCCCCGAAACTGCATAAAACACGCGCTCCCAAAACTGCTGCCCTTCGACTCTATGAGGCAAGCTGCGCAAGAGCCTTGTACAGTCACCCCATTCAACATATATATATATATATACATGTGATTATATATGTGACGGTGGACAACTAAGAAGACGTGATGACCCTCGAGCACCAACGCTGCATGTTGAATGATTCCATGCGGAAACATCCTGCTCCGACTAGATCAGCATGCCAAAAAGGCCGACAGGGACAGCACTGCGCCCGATGGACAACCCTTCGACATGTAACCCTGCACTCTGCTACTCCATCACTGACATGATATAAAGCTTTCCCTGGCATGCCTTAAATATTTCACATCAGATATGTCTCACACAGCCCCGCAAAACATCCAACTGGTTTATTCTGGAATAGGGAATCAGATTGGTCTCGTGCAGCCAGCAAAAAGTCGACATGGCTTGCTATGGGGGACCCTGGGTTGCTCACGGGGGAGGGCAAAAGGCAATCCAGCAGAACGTCAGAGTCGCGGGTTGCAGTTCCCCCTGGAATTCTTGGGAAGCGATAATGAGGACCCTATGCTCTTCTGAAGCTGTAGAGACACCTACAAACCTACCGAACCGCATGCTCAAACGCGTGGAACAGCTGCTGAGCTGCATCATGGACTGAACTCAAACTCCACTCATTGCAAAAGGGCTTGCATGGACATGAGGAATCAGTATCATAAAGACTCCCCAAGACCCCGCCCAAAAAAAGAAACAGGGTTCGAATAGCCGCAAGAAGCCGCAGCAGAGACACCGTTCACTACAATAAGAATCTTACTCAAATGCCTTGGTGGACATCTTGTCAGGTGCGGCATGCCATGACACATGGTGGCAGGGGAACGCCCAGCTCCTCATGGTAGATGCGTGTGTTTATTGCCTGTTGCTCTAGAGAAAATCGGGCATTTTAGGAGCTGCGCCCCTCTGCGAAGCCAAAACCCCAAATGAAATAGTCGTAACCATTTTCTTTTCCATTATCCCTAAATAGCCCCTATATACGCCCTAAAACAAAAATCAAACAAAGCAGATGGAAGAATCGATAAATTGCCTTTACCAGCCTTTTTGGGTCTTGCCTGCATGCCAAACATGACCTGCGGGTCTACCTCAGGAGTGACAATGTTACCCGCAGCTCTCCACTCCTAGAGGGTAGGAAAGGGGAGATTGATGCTGTTCAGAATTTTGTCCTCCCCATTGGCATGGTCAATAAAAGTCCTGCCCATGCGCCTCCCCTAGCAAGCGCAAACCTCTCTTTTCCAACTGGTCTACGTGCTCAGCCAGACCCCATCCGCGCTGGCATAAAATGCGCACTTGCCTACTGCGCTTCTTGGTCATAGGTTGTTTGTAGCCTCTGGAATGCAGAAGCCTGGACTATGCAGTGTCTTGAGCTTCTGACCTACATTGCGGACCGGCTTGGTGATTCTGGCGGTCTGTAGGGAGTAGGCTTGATCAGGCAGAGTCAATGTCGTCTCAGGTGATCACTGTCTTCTCACGGCATGAAGTTTATACCCCCAGCCCCCGCACCCCTCGCAAAAGGTTCATGACGGATGGACGATGTTCGCTGGTTGTTGGTCCCCCCATTCGCGCAACATGTAAAGACGTTGGGAACAGAACGAAGTATCCTTCATCACACATCATGCATTTGAAGCCCTGTAACTGATTCCCTGCTCTCCGGTGAACTCTCCGTTGTGTAGAAGCACTGTTGAGCGTAGGGTTCAGGGTGTGCTTATGACGAATTGTGGGGCAATAAGCCCGGGTGAGCCTGGACCGAGGTCGTTGCCAGGCAGCTCATAGGCTGGGGCAATAAGCCGCTTAGGGGGACCAATTTTAGAATCAGGGGACTCCCATATCTGGACACTCCTGTATGTACATTGTGCCCTCCGATGGCAGGGATAAAGAAATCCATTGAATTCCAAGCAATCCGCTTGCCTGAGGTAAGCCCTTAGTCTATGTAGATAAGTAGAGAGAATAACGGTTTGAGCAAACGAAGGCGAATACTTTGAAGCCTGTTGCCATACAGCCTCATGATTCTCTCGCTCCAATTTCTTACTCAAGCTGGGGCGCCGTGACCGTCAAAGACGCAATAAACGCCACAACCGGCAAACCTTGGATCTTCACCGGCCGAATTGCGCAGCCATGAGAATCGCAGACCCCAGCTAGAGCTTTTGCTCCATCCCTTTTGGTAGCGCCCCCTGAGAGTGTGAGCCAAGCATCTCTTCTCCAACATTGGAGTTTGCGATGTGTTCGTCCTCCATATCTGGTCTCCAGCCTTGCATCTCTGCTGTTACCCATTCCATCCGCTCATCGCCTGCGCATCATGGCGTAGGTACTTGCACCCTGGGAATAGGAAAGCCCAAGACCCTGCAAATCAAAGATATTGGGTTCTCCCAGAATTCAGTTCTACTTTGGGGGGGTGCTACGTTACGGGATCTCCATTTGGAACGCCACATCTATGCATGTGCTATACCTTTCAGCCTGCGGCTCTTGATTAAGCGCGTTGGGGCATCTTGAGGGTGGCGCTGATAAGCTGATACAATCTGCAGCTGCAAGGCTGGTAGCGCCAGTACCATCAGCACCAAGACAACGACATTACTCCAACACGCGTGCGCCAGAAGTATGCCGCACAAAGCAGATCCTGTTAGCAGTCTTGAATGCAACTCGCCGCAGATGGCCTCCTGTCTCTATCCCTTTCTCCTTCACAGGTTTGTCCAGCAGGCTGCCCATGGCTTTCAAGTAGGGCCAGGGTGTGTAGCAAGAAAAGAAAAATTCACCTCAGATGGATTGTGGTAGCACGATTCTTTGCAGGATGCCTGACGGCATGCGTCGGCATGCTGGATGCTATCTGCTGGCAATGCTGCTTTGCTGCCACTCATGGAGAAACCATCATGCCGCTGCGCTTTGCGTGTTGGAGCTGCGCGGCACGGCAAGGAGCGGTACAGCTTCTGCCCAGCGCCCTGTTTACCGATACACTGGGCATGAACTAATCGAGATTTCAAACGGTTATTATTTTTAGTATTATTATTACCATTCTTATTATTATGACTACTGCCTATTGCTACTATTGAATCTATTGTTCTTACTACTACTACTACTACTACTATTCATGTATTAGCTGGAAAACCTGTGGAGGGTAGGAATGTCGGAACGCTCTCTGGGCGCCCGGTCAGGAGATGTCAGGCGTATGACATCCTTGAGGGCGGAGCCTGTCCGGAACCATGATAAAACTGACTGATTCTTGGTAGGAAGAAGGGTATATATATATATACATGGGTATAGTACAGGGTTATATAGATTACATTGCCCTTGTATTCCCGGCCAATAAGGAAGAGGACATCGACAAACAAAAAGAACTTCTTGGCACCACATGGTTTCCCAAATATTTATGTATATACCTGGAAGGCAAACAAGTCCACTTCCTCGTCTTGCTTCGCTGCTGTAACCAGGCAACAGGCCAGGTAAACCATGCTAAGATATGCTTAGGTGCTGGGCTGATGGTGCTGGCTGAAAGTCTTCCTGCCGGGTGCTACAGGCTCGACTGCAGCCGAGAGCCTCAGACTTGCTGCCCAGCCAATCTGCAAAAACCAGGCTAGATTCCCTGAGGACATCAACATTGGGAAGCAAGTGACAACTTGCAATGCGCTTCGCTTGTAGGATCTTCTAGGCCAACCACGAGATCAAACGAACGCCGCAAAAAGACATCATGTTGATTCAGCCTCCTGGCTCACACTGCGTCTGACAGCTTGCATCACCGCCAGGGGCAAGCATCAGAGCTGTCATTCCTTCCTGCTCCCATGAGTTCTGTCAGCACCTGCTTCCAGCAGCAATTGCACGCTTTCCATATTGCCACGGGCAACTGCGAACATGAGAGCTGTGAACCCGTCGCTGCGTGACTCTGTATGTCCGGATCGGCACGGCCTTTCAACAGCATCTGCATGATCTGCTTACGGTCACTGCGAGCTGCGTGCATGAGTGCGGTCTCACCGTCCTCATCCTGCAGTTCTTTGATGCAACCAGCTTCCAACAGCAGCTGCGCAAGCTCAATGTAATTTATGCCTACTGCATTCATCAGAGATGTGTTGCCATACTCATCTTCCCATTCTTTGGCGAGACCTCAAAAACACCCCCTAACTCAGTATTAGGTGGTCCCTCTTCGAAGTAGTCTTCTCCTTTTGACAGCAGCCAGCAGGATTTTAGCCCCTGAATTTATTGCTTGATATTAGGGGATTTCATTCTTAGGGGGAAGGGGCTACTCAGGTTCCAGGACGCGTAGAGAAACCGTTGTTGCAGCCTGGAGCCCTGAAGCCCGTAAAATCCCAAGTGGCCTCCTTAAGTAGATGGAATATGCCTTTGACTATATTATATATTGGGGCAATATATGGACATTGGAAAAGAAAATGGAAGCTACTATTATGGTGTATTTGGGTTATACTTTACATGAATGAGCCGGTCGCAAATCATGATTCCTGTGTGGGTCCCTATTCATACAATACTACTGCCCATCATGTCCAGGGTGGTAGCCTCCTTGGCTATTGCTCAGCAAGCGTGACTTCTTATCGTACCGGTGTGTGTGTGTGTGCCCAGTCAAAGCCTGGCAGAAACTGCAACATCTCAAGTCCTCCAAGCCTTCGTCCAAAACCCAGAAGGTTGAGAACCATCGACCATGGGCCCTGGATGTCTCCAAGTAACACTGCGAACAGGGCTAGGCAGACAGGTTTGACACACAAACACACCTCCCTCAACCCTTCACGCCTCAAAACCATATTTGCCGATAATCCAAACACCCAACCACTCCTGATCATGCAGATTTTCAGCAATTCTACAAGTATATCTCAGCGCATATGCTGGATTAGGAAGTGGCGGGTTTCATTATCATGGGGAAGTACTGCCGGTACCATCCCTACGCAATCCAGCCTCCACATTGATATCTACTTGATTTTGCATTTGATGTGCCGTTAATTATCCGAGTTGCAACCGCAAAAACCCTAGCAAACCCTACAGTAGCTTGAATTGCGTTTCCCATGCTTCCAGTTGTTCTCCATTTCGGGGTAGTATCCCTAAAGCCTTTTTTTGAGGCACGGACTTGTGCTGAGGCCGCCACTAGACCCTTAAACCCTAAATGAGCCATTGTCTAAACTCCTAGTATCCCCCCTAATAACCCCTATGATATTCCCCTATATAGTCCCCTATATAACCCCCTTTAAGGAGTTTACCCTTAAACCCTAAATGCAGGTGATTAGTTCTGCAGTGAGCTCCACGCCCTGCCTCGCACCAATCCTTTCCATTGACAGCGGCGCGCAGCCCCCCGACCCCTTCCTACAAAAATTAAGCAGCACTCCCCAAGTACCCTTTAAGGGGATCTAAATTAACCCATTGCAGTAGTTTCCATTTTCTTTTCCATTATCCCCTATATAACCCCAATATAACCCCTACATTCCCCCAGTGCCTACAAAAATTCAGCAGCACACCCCCAAGTACCTACTGTCAAACACACACAGACACCCAACTCCAAGTTAAGTGAACTGTCCTGCTAAGTGGTCCTTATGCTTACTTGATGATTAAGGGCCCCCTTCGAATTAGAGAGAAGAGTGGTCTACTTTGGTCTACTCAAGGATGCAACGAGGAGCGTATCAGCCCTGACTAGTGCTGAGAAGGTGACGTGTCTTGTCCTCATCTGAAGCTACAAGCTGCAAAGGAATCATACGGGTCGATCCCGTGTGCTGATGTTTGTTGGAGCCGTACTAGATATCATTGGTGTGCAAACCTTCGACATGGTATTCAGGGGCGGATGTCCCAAAACATGCCAAAAAGACCTGGACCAATCGGCTTGCTCTTTGGGTCGAAGAATCGTCATCTTTTTGAAGCAAAGCCATAAAACGCACCCTCACATCTATTTTTGACCTCAAGTGACATGGGGCTGTGGTTTTGGAGTGCCTGGAAGAACAACAACCCTAAACCCTAAACCCAAAAAAGACTATATAACCCACTGTAGTAGTTTCCATGCTCTTTTCCATTATCCCCTATATAACCCCAATATAACTCCTATATTCCCCCAGTTTCCATTTCATTTTCCATTCTCTTTTCCATTTGATTCTCCATTCTTGGGGTAGTATCCCTATATTCCCTATATATCACCGGATAACCCCAATATAATCCAAGCAATGCCAAAACTACAGGGAGGCGATATCTGGCCAGGTAATTCGGCACTGAGAATTAGTCTGTTTAGGGTTTAGGGATGTTTAGGGTTTAGGGTTCAGGACAGAGGATGCTCCCGAGCATTACCTACAATTAGCAAACGCTGAGGTACCCTCAGAAGCCCAGTCAAGAGCTTGCAAAACTGCAAAGTGCATGCCCAAAAAAGCTCAACCACTTTTTTAGCAGCCGACATCGTTATGTTTGACCCTCGTGCTGCCACACGCGGTAGTTTCCCAAAATAAGGGGAGCCCAATATAGACCCCAATATACTATAGTCCTTATTATGGGGACCCCCAAAAGGGTACCCCTAATTTTAGGAAACCCCCAGGCCCCTGGATCACTGCCTTCGCTGCCTGCGGCCGCGCCCACGCCGCTTCCTATCTTCACGCGCATCACTGGCACGGTTGCTTTCCTGGCCTGTGCCAGATGGACCTGCATAGCGCCAAAAGCTTCCGTTGCGTAGCTCTAAGCGTTTGTCCCCCTCTGAGGGGAGGAGCGGCATCCCATTTCTGGGCAGTAAGAGGAGGTTTTGCGGGCCGTGAGCTCCGTCATTCACCTTTACATTCACCCGCCGAGTCACCCTGACTGTCTCATTGGTGGCCGGCACTACAGCATCAAATTCACCCATGGTGCGGATAAACAGGCTACCATAGGCCTGGTGAGGCTTCAAGGGCAAACGCCCGGCTTTGTGAAGCCACTTGAGTTTCTCAGAGAAGTCGCTTTGAACTATCTCTATCCTTAGCTGCTCAATTGAACAACCCCAAACTCTGGATTGGTAGCAATTTCGTCTTCTGCGCTGTAATGAATATACACTTCAAGACAAACAGCCATCTATAACTAGGCTCATGGTTCATAGTAACTGAACATCTAAGCCACCAACCAAATTGAGTGGTAAATCTGATTAAGAAGTTAATTGGAAAATGTGATGAAGAAGTAACCACATCCGAACTGATCCGAACTGAGTTTGAGTCTATTCAAGAAAGGCCCAGTATCGGGGCACCACCATGGTGGCAACCATCTTGGACACAGTTGACCTCGCTTAGTGCTTCGGCTTATTTTGGATGTCCAGTATCTTGCGCTTTTTCAAGGTTACCCTTCTCACGTATATAGGTTTTTATTACCCTTGAGAAGTAGCAAGACTAAGCACCCGACGGACAAATGGGTCAGGGTTTGAAGTCATCAGCTTGTTGTCATTCATTAGGAAGACTATCCGACTAAGTGTCTGTCAGAGATGCTCGAATCCATAGCACCAAGCCTCACACACTGCAACAGTCCCATCTACTCAGACAGCTCCATCAGCTTACCTTTCAAAATCAAACTTCAGAGTCGCATGCTTCTCTCGTGCTCCTCTCCTGAATCCTATGCCCTCACCCCTAGGCCTACCGGCCCTGCAACTGAAGCGACCCAGCCCTAGCTCTTGAGCCCAAACCCTTAGGGTTTAGGGTTTTTTTCATTCTTGCAGGTCGTCCAAGCTCCGAACTGTCTGCTTGCAAGCTGATGCCTATGTATACCCCATATGGACCCACCATGTCTATGCACGCTTAGTCCCCACATAATCCTGCCATAGTTCCCTCTGCCCGCTCTACAACCTTCAACAAAGTTCTCTCGGGATCCAGAAAGGCCAATGCACGCAATATTTGTAGATTTGGGGCCCAATGTTGGTACTATTTGTCTACTTGAACCTGAAGTATATACCATATACCTACCCTCAATCCTCAAACCTCAAGTTTCTTTGTGACTCCAAGGGGCGCTGCAGTCAAAGGCCCGCCACAAGATGAGGGCCAGGGCCTCGTCCAAGGAGTCGAACTCCCCCACCTTTCAATCCAAAGGGGGGTCCATGTAGGTAAATAGTATAGGGGGTTAGGGTAAGTATATACTGGGGGCCCAAAGGGCTGCCGATATACCTCCTGGAAGGCCCCAGTACATACCATATAGCTACATGGACCCTCTGGGCAAGGATGATGCGCGCATGTGTATACATACATAAATACATATGTGTGTATAATAAACATATGCATGCCTGACCAAATCTCGTGCAGAGCGCAGAGACCATGGAAAAAAGGGTTGGCCCGTATTGGTTAGCCAGGTTTTGGGGCATCAACCCTAAACCCTAAACTCTAAACCCTAAACCCTGAACCCTAAACCTTAAACCCTAAACCCTGAACTGGGCCCTATCAGCTGTCGCCAAAAACCACTCTGAATCTCATGGCCAGCCTAGACATGCCGCCTCTTCCAAAGATCTAGCCCGACACTTATATGTATATATATATGAGCCATTGTCTAAACTCCTAGTATCCCCCTTAATAACCCCTATAATAGTCCCATATATAATCCCCTATAGAACCCCTCTTTAAGGAGTTTACACTATGGCTCATATATATATATATATACACGCATGAACATTGTATGTCAGCATGTACGTAGGTATGCATGTGTGTATGTTTGTTTCTTCGTTTGTTTGTGTTTTTTGCATGTTTGTGGGTATGTACATGTTATGGTTACGTAAGGCGACGTAGTTCTCGAAGAGTTCTCTGGATCATGTGTAATTGCAACAGGGATTATGTACATGTAGGCTTAAACGTTGCAGGAGCTGCTGGGCAAGGAGGACATGGTCCAACTTCGTGAAATGCCACGACGAACCCAAGAGCCTAAACCCCCAGCTAAGGACCCCACTCTAACCTTTGAAGGCAGATTATAGTTATTGCTATTACTAGTACTACTTACTATTACTTACTATTATTGGGAGTAGATTCTCGAGGTGCTACATCGGGAGTTCCGCAAATTTGGGTCTTGTGGGGGTCCCAATAGTAAGCACTATAATATATTGGGGTGCCCTATATAGGGAAGATAAGGAAACCACCAAATCCTAGAACCTTTGACAACATAGTATGCCCAAACCTTTGCCTGAAACATGTGCTCAATAACACCAGCCCCTCACCCTAGGAGCGAGGCTTGTAGCACAAAAGTTTAGGGTTTAGGGTTTAGGGCCCTTGACTCAAAACCTACATCGGACTACATATTCATAGGCAGGCGCGTGCTTGCAATATTGCTACCTAGCTTGACACCCTCACTGCGGCAAGTAACTCTGCAGTCGAAGTGTGCGATGACGTTGTCAGGCAATTCGATTCCCCGCTCCTCTGCCATCTGGGCCAACCTACATGAAGGACACCCCCAAGTGGGTAGTTACCAGGTATTAGACTCATATAAGGAGGGGGTTTATGAGATCTATATATGCCTTCTTTGCGGGCGCCCCCTGATATTTCCGTGAACGCACTCGAAGATCAAGGACCCTCCCCAACTTTGAATAAGACTGGTACTCTTTGAAATAAGCAAGAAACGGTTCCAACAATGACAACTGCCTGGCTTTACGGGGCAAATGTTCAAAGCAAAGCCATCGACTTACTGTGGGGAATAAAGGAATTTAACGACTCAATTCCTTTTATCTACGAACTCACAGTAAGATTTTTTCAAAGAAAAGTCATAGAAGAACAGCTGACTTTCTGGATTACATCCCAGGAACCTACGGTTGAACAACGCGGTGACAACGCTGGCACCAATGCTCAACCATTTCTGGACTCGGCCTCCATGGACCCAGTCTTGAGCTGCACCTTACCCGTGAGTGGGGTACTATGATTACTATTGCTATTAGTATATTACAACTATTACTACTCTCTTTACTAATATTACTACTATTGCCACTATTGCTGGGAGTAGATTTTAGGTGATGCATAGGGGATTACGTCAGCAAGTGGGGAAAGGAAATTTACAGAGATTTACTCTCCCACTTCCTCTTGAAACCATAATCACCCGTACAGTACGGCACCCGTCGTCGTAGTCAGACGCGGGGTCAGCAGAATTGTCATCTCGTCGCTGTGGGTATATGCAATGTTGCCTTTGAATTCGTCCATCATGGCCCGGCAGCAGAGTTGCCTAAATTGCTGTTTCGTGCTCCAAAAATTATGTGAGTGGCTTGGCTGCAAACGGCCACAAAGACCTCTGTTTCCAAGGGCGGCCAAGTTGCATGATTTCACCTACCTCGTCAGAGTATCCTGGCCCAATCAAGCCAGCTTCTCTCATGCGCTTGGTCAGCGTTCCGAACATACACCCATCCAAACGAATTGTCACCCACTTTTCACCGTGGAGAGAGGAAGGTGTCTCGCATGCTGTCGCCAGCCTTCCCAATTCTTGCCAAGCAGCGCGGGGAGTTGGTGGGGAGAGCTCATGCAGTGTTGAAGGCACCTCTTCCACCGTAGCAGGGGCACGCTCTTCAAGCAAACTCCATATGTCCCTATACGTCTGCGCAAGCTCGCTGATGGCTTTTTCATCCTCGCTGGAATTTGGCAGGTCTATGGCACTGGCGTCCATCACCTCATTTGAAGCTCTCCGCACGGCCCGAGGATTGCACATGCTGAGGGACCGCTTTGGACCCCGCAGGTTGCCTGCAAACGCCACATACCGGTCAGACAACGAAGCTGCAGCCAACCAGAGAGCCCCCAGGCGCAAGCAGGTGCCATACCTAAGCCTGGCCCGCCCCGCCATGGATGGCTTTGCTGACGTATGCTGATTCAGGTGACTGCGTGGTTAGAGCTTGGCATGTCTGAATGCAGAGAACCAATATTTGTGCCTTCCAGAACTATGGTATGCAGCATAGTGAAACCTAACCCTACCGACACTGCCAAAACAGCCACAGCACATCGCGCAACATGCATATGAAAAGAAGCATGGCCAAGGGCGCAAGCAGCTCCTGCATGGGGAGCTTCGGACTTTCTTTCTCTACGACTCACAAGTGCGCATCAGCTGTGGAGACGTAGGTCCTTTCCCAGGAAAAGCAGAGTGCAAACATTGTAAGGGTGTCCCGCCACGCTAGTTGATCTGTCAGGAGTGGCATAAAAGGTCTACGGCAGACTACCCACCTTTGACAAGCGTCTACCGCACCGTTCACCCCGCAAGTCCTGACCCAACGAAAGTCAATGTCGTCCCAGGCGTCGTCCCAGTTACTCAGCGATTCCTGACACTCAGTGGGATGCTCCGCTGTCCTGACCTCATCTGCGCTAACAAGCCCAGAGCTTTGCAAAGCTGAAATCCAACCCAAACTAACATGGAAACCCAAAAAGGGGCACGTTAAGAGAGAACAGCTTACGGATGGAATCTGGTCAGAAGTCTGGCGTCCGCACCCTTCTTGGGGGACTTCACGACAAAGAAGTTGTAGCATTTGGGGGTGGATGAAGGAAAACTCAATGTTTGGAAGCTTTCGGTGGCAAGCCCAGCACTTGCAGTGCCCCTTGATGGGTTGATGTGATGGAAGTAGCCACGAGGAACGTGAATGCTTATGCAAAAGCCAGCCGCCGCCATACCCGGATGTGTTCTTCTTTTGCTAATACTGCAGCTGTTGCTACTGCTTGTCTTTCGACTTCTACTTCTTCTACTGCTGCTGATCCTGCTGCTGCCGCTACCTTGCTCTTCTCCCTCACTGAGGTGCTACGACCCTGCTTCGACAACGCAGGCCTTGTACTATCACAGAAAGGAAGCTGTGGCGTGCAAGCCGCACCTGGCTCTCCAGGCGCACACCGCAAGCCTCCTCCAGGGTCTCGAAGAAGCGCGCATCCGTTACCTGCAAACTTGCGGGTCTCCTTCGACGTGCGGCTGGGAGGATCTCTTGCATCGTAAATCACACACAGACACACTTCGACTTCGGGGGAGTAACATCCATGTAGTGCCACAGCTACAGAAAATCATGTTTTGAGCAACCATGATGGGCACATTTTTGTGGCAGCCCTACTTGAAGCTGCGATAACAGGAACAATAAAAGCAAGCAGTACGCAAGTAAGTAAAGAACACCTTCGAATGTGGGAGGCCTCTGCGCCGTCGCGATGTTGGTAGGCAAACACCTCAGGTTCAAGCTGCATACAGCCAGACTCTTAAGCGAGCCGGGCTGTAGGTCATGTCACTGCTACGAGCTAGACTTGATGTACATATAAGCAAGTTACTAGCTCATCTGCCCCTATGGGTTTCTCAATGGCATGACCGAGTGTCACGTGCGTAGGCATCGCAGGGCTTGTTGCCGCGGTCACTGAGGCCACTCAAAAATATACGCAGCTTCTCTAGGTTACTATGCTTAGAGTAGAGACTTGCCGTGTAACCCCCTGCAGTCTTGTCGTCTAGTATGACAGTGGCCCATTTCTCAAGTCGTCTGGTGTAGGGCGCGGGCTATGCGTCCGCCAGGTCTGGCGAGCACTCGTTTCAGCACAGCTTGCAAAGCTTCCCACACCTCTCGCTTCAAAGTCAGTGAAAAAGCTTTGCGGAGGGCTGCAGGCTTGTAACCATATAGTTGCATGCATAGCTCTCCACTTAACACGGTGCCGTATACAGCCCATGAACCTCCAAAGGGGCTTTGGCACGCAGGACCTACTGCGCCCTTTTCAAGAGCCCTCGATTTTGCGGCCCTTACCTCCGTGTAAGGACCTCTATAGGCGCCCTTGAAGTCTAGCAGTAGTCTAGCGCTCTTCTTGCTTCCTCTTCGTGCGGGACTCCACAAGTTGAGGCATCCGAAAAGTGATTGGAGTGTGTGCTTTTGCCTCCTGTGGCTGCTGGTACACCACTTCGCAGCACATGACCAGGTCGAAGTGACCTGGCATACAGGAAGTAACAACATGTCGGAATTGGACACTGACTCCCGGACACTGGAATCTTTAAAGCAGTGATGCCAAGCCAGGAACTTGCCCAAGCAATTGTGTGTGCACTCAAAGGCTAGCAGTCCTCCTCTTACCATCAGGAGAGCGAGCATCATAGAGCCTCTGTGCCTAGTATGGGACACTGATGCTAGGAAGGCAACAACCGCAAACAAATAAAGCCTTCATCACCCTTCTACTCCATAATAGCCAGTGAGAACAAGAAATACCAAGAAGTATAGCACCTGTCCGGATTATGCCTGTTCCGTAACAGGAACATCAAAAGGAGCAAGGGCCGCCTCGTTCCTGAACCAATTCTTCGGCTTCTTCCCTCCCCCAGAACAAAGGCCGGACCTCTGAGGCAGGCCAGAGGAATTCGCAAATTTCTGTTTGGAACAGATGGTGTAGTCTGGTGTAGGTGTTCTTCTGGCAGCTTCTGTAGTGACCTCCTTCAACGCCAGCTCAAGCCATGCAAACGACATGGATAAGATTCGATTCCAAGGCTGTGCTTCTTCAGACAGCACCGTGAAGTTAATGAAAGTTCTATTGCCAAGGGCTGTAAGATAGTTCGTCAAAGCTCCTTCGCGGAAGCCCCGAAACCAAATACTGTCTGAGAACGCAACGATCGCCTCGCCAGCGGGCTTGCGTCGCGCGACCTCATACCCCAGCAGTCCATGGACCATTGCATGTACTCAGTGAACTCAGACCCCAAAGCATTTTCATAGGAACCGCTTGGGCTCCAAGCGTACACTGTGTCGAACTTTTTGGACCTCCTACTTTGAGGGGAAGCCTTCTTGTCAAAGGTCACTAAGGACATGCAGGGTCAGGGCCATCGTGAGGAAATCTTGAACTCTGACAGATTTTTCCCACACAACCCCCCGCCCCCCCGGACCCTCATAAGATTTGAGTCTTCCGAGGCATGCATGTTTGGAGAGAGGGGGTGCATGTCAAAAAATTGCGGCGACAATAGCTCTGATGCGCAAAATGTGGAGAGACTTCTGCGCTTGACAGGCGGACAGCTTCCAGCAAGAAGGCAAAGCATTGGCGTCTTGACTTGTTGAATCCGCTGACTGTCCTCTAAGGGCAGCATTTCTCAAATTTGGCATGCGCTTTGGAGTGCCGCACCTTCAGCATGGCACACGTGAGCTGTAGGCTAGACCGACTGGGCCGTTCATCAGGACATCGGTATAATCTGCATGAAGCTCTCTCGGAACTTCTCATGTAAGTCCTTCTCAAATGAATTCTGACTGAACCTGCCATGTCGACATGGACTGCAAGGCTTGCCTTGCTGGTTGCATCCGCGATGCAATGGAGAGTCACGTTCCTGCATGAAAATACTGGAGAAAGAAAGAGTGAGGAGTCTGCAGTGTCTATGCCGAATGAAGGCCGTTGGGGGGATGTACCAAGTTGCAGAAATTCCTGACTAGTTTTGGGTTCAACTGGTACGTCTCCAATGTTCCGGATCCGAGCAACAACTCCTATCTGCAATGGGGAACCTTGTCCCATTTCAGGAAAGTCCTACTTTCTGCCCCTGAAGCAAGTACGAGCCATTTTTCTCTTGTGGCTAGTCAGCTTCAGGGCGACCCCCTATTTGCACACATGCGAGCACAAGAACATCTCTTCAGCTTGGCTAAATCATGCCCCTGTGGCAACCCGCACGCCAATCGCCTGAGAGCGCAGATTTGACTCGAAGCTAGACCAGCTGTGCAAGAAGCACACCATGATGCCGCTTAAGATGCCTCAGGGTGGCAATAGGTTCCCATACCCTGCGTGCAGGGATGTTGTGTCGGGGAAGCCCCCGCCCCAAGTTCACAAAAGTGTCCCTTACATGTGGCTTGGCCTATTCAAAAGCGGGAGAACGCGTGGCACGTCCGTAAACGTCACCTGAGTTGTCCAGTAGTCAATCAGGTCAAGACAGGTGCAGTGCAAGGACAGACTGAGGTTCGAAAAATGACGCAATCAAACGGTGGCCAAACTGTTCTTGTATTCAGCTCATACTAGGTTACCCTTGTATTGACCTAGCGCCAGCCCCTCGACTTACCCCTTGCCTACTGAAACCATGGTCTTCCTGGAGCCTGGTGAAAAGGCAAGAAGCGCCAGCGGATGCGGCCAAGATCAAAGCAGCACAGCATGCAAGAGAATCAGTACTTACAAAGCGCACGACCCTTGAAAGTAGGAGGTAGTACTTTGCGGGCAACGAGCTTGGAATCTGCGCGTTAATCTTGAGCCTCGCACGCTCTTTGCCCCCAGTCCTGGGCAGCATGTGCTGTTCCATGCTGAACTCAACCACACCCAACCAAAGCCGCGCAGGTCCACAGGTCAGGCAAGTATTGCAATCGACTACAATAAGTTAGTGTTTGAGCCTTGTATCCAAAGACTTTGATTTCTCACAAGCGACCGAAGGCGCTGTAGAAGTATCGATCTCTATCTGGCATACTGCCTGCTTGCTTTTCCTGCCTTGACTTCCTCCTTGACACGATCAATGACTACATCCGTGGCACATGCCTTCGCAAGCAGTCCGTCCTTATCTGTCCCAGCACTTGGCAAGCTCCTGGATTCACACTTGCAGCTGAGGCGCGATGCGCCACCAGCCCAACCAGGCCTGTGCCCGCCCCCAAGTCCAGGACTCGTCTGCCTTGCCAATCGCAAGCTCAGACGGCACAGGATAAGTTGACCCACCCTACATACACCGGATGCGGTTTTCACAGGGATCGCTTCGGATCATGCCCCCAAATCCGAAGTGGTGCCACTGTTACCCGCATGCAACCATGAACTTACCAGAAAACCTTGTTGACACCGCGTTGCCCATCACAAATACAAAGCAACTAGTGCCATCTTGGAGGTCGTCAATCAGACCGATACTACTTTCGGAGATTCCCAAAAGTGGCCCTACAGAATTGCTACTAGGGAGCCATGTTAATCTCCGTGTAATCCTCATATATCCCTGTGTGTATAAGGGCATCTTGAGAATATCCATCCTAGTATTAGAGTCCCCCCTTAAGTAGATAGAATATGGCTTTGGGTATATTGAAATAAGATCTCCATATACCCCATATTCTATCTACTTAAGGGGGACTGTACCTTTGAGCAGAGCAGTACCTGGCCTTCCAGGTCAAGCTTTTTGTCGCCTGGAATGAGAAATCAAAGATCGCAGGGTTTCGAAATATGGGAGGAGGCCTTAGGGACCATGTGCAGGGGTGAACTTTTTTAGGTAAGAGCAGTCGGCTTTAGCCGAACTTTAGCCGTTATAGGGATCCTGTCGAGAAACTGACAGTCTGAAGATAAAGCAAGCGCTCTGGGTCTGTCTGGCTACGGCTTCTGTAGAGCCTCCAGTCTGCGGGGCAAGTCAGACTACAGTAATCTTATGCCAGGTTTGAGAGGACAAGGTTCTGGGTTGGGTTATTCAAGTCACGCGCTTCACCTCAAAACCATATAAGCGCAGTCTTGAGATTCGGACGGTCTACATGCCATCTCTAAGCTATGATTCTGAGAAATCATGATGGGATCGGAATCAGCTTTCCAGCAAGACCCCATCTGAGTGCCGGACTAAATCTCTTATGTGGCGTAGAAGTCATCAGATTTAGGGTTGGCCCCTATCGGTTATCAGCGTTTTGAACCTTTATTCCATTCTGTGCTTCAGTGCCTCTTTCCATACTTCCGAAAACCTTTTTTTACTGAGCAGGCC